GGCTTCATAGGCAAATCTCTGAGACTCAGTTGTGCGGAAAACCCCTGACCTCTGTATTCATTTTTTGACCAAGGCTTACAAAGATCAAAGCTGTGGAGCATCCATTGCATTCCTAGGCGGAAAAGCAAAGCGAAACATTCTTTCTAGTTTTTGACTTAAGACCTAGCCTTTTACATGAATAAGTTAAAATGTTACATTTCTGTGTTAAGTTAAACTATGAACAAAAACTGTCACGAGCTTAGATATGACGTAGGGCGTATGGAATTGAGGAATTGCCTTGGCCAATTACAACATAAAGTACACGTTTGTAATGGTTTCCAAAATGATCGGTCTGTAATCATCCAAAATGAGAATTAGAAATACATACGACACAAATGTCAAAATAATTAAACAGTGGTCTAAAAATCTTGTTATTGTGGACTTCTCAAAATAATTAGTCAACAGAAATATATTCGTATTTAAAAATATACCAGGAGTAACTTAAATCAATACAATTACATTTCTGGCAACATTTATGAATTCAAAAAGGTTTTAAAACAAAAACAAAAAATTCACAGCAAAATACGCTAATTGTAGTGAACACTTCACCAAAAAAACTAACTCAACACGCAGAACTCACTGCTAATGGGTCACAAGAAGCTCACATTTTAAAAGTGTTCGCTTGCTTTTCTTCAAACTCTCAGCTCTGCACATTCCTCGGTCCACAAACACCACAAACTCTCCTCTAACCACCCCCCCCCCTCCCCCAACGGCTGTGCTGAAACATTATTCCATGACAATTATGCAGGTTATTCGGGCAACTTCCAGGCCAACTGGCACTAATATCCAGAGCATGCATCAGCAAAAGGGCAGGAAATGAATTCAGCCTCATCCTGTTTCCATGTGAAAATTCCCATAAAAACCGCTCTCCTTTAACAAATACCCAGTCTTCTCTTGTACACAAGCACTTGTCGTGCACCATACGCACATTTGTTTTATTACGGCATTTCTACACATTGCTATGGAATAGTGTAACACGAGTGGAACTCTTAATTGTCATGGTAAGTTTGGGCAGAACAATGGCAGCGCACCAGAAGCGATGTATTGACAAAGAACCTTTTTGACTTTAGAAATAATTCTGCGTCAGTAAAGGGAAAGCTAACATTATGTATACTCTTAGTGGATAATGCGTACGGTCAGAGTACAGTTTAAATGTACAAGTGCACGTGTGGTGTAGGATCTTTTATCCAGCCATGCTGAAGATACACGCGCACTACTATTATTAAATACGGCCAAACTCCGACCTGCTCTTCCTATTATCCAACACCACCAATTCCATTCACAGATCTTCCCTTTCCACATACTTTTTCTGTCGTTGCTTTACCCACATGCATAAGGGGAGTATCCTGAAAGTCGGGACAAGTTTATCCGATTATATAATGTGTTTACATCGCCACGAAGATGAAAAAGTTTAGCTGTAACTGCATACTCTTAATATCAATGCTAATCTCTCATTTTAACTATAGTCAGGCAAAGGCGCACATAACGGGAATAATCCAGAAAAGGTAGCAAATTTATTAATAATCACATTGATTCGTGAAAATTTTTGTGCCAAAGGTGAGCATAATACAAGAATAAGTGTGAAACAAAATTCAATGGAAAAGAGCGTTCTACCAAATTGTACAAAAGATCACATGTTTAGCCTTTTAGGCTGTTGAGATAAATGGCAATTTAAGAATTTATCCAGTATAGCAATATGTTTATGTCCTTTACATTCTGTGTAAGCATACATACAGATGTACATTTGTCATGAGCTTGTTCAGAGATTGCGTGCAATATCAAATCAAGGTAAAATAATTACTAAAACATTCCTTTATGCTTTTAGAGAGCACAACTCACACTAGGCAAAAAGCATTACACACTATGGGATGTTGATCACAATTAGGTGACATCAACAAGTGTCTATGACAACATCAGTTATCCAAGTTAATAGAATTGGTACAGGCACATTGCTAGCCATCACAGCCACAATCGTAGGCTAAATAAGCAGTTCATTGTCAATCCCACATGGCCACCAGTGCGCACCTCCGATTAGCACGGTTAGCTAGGTATGGTGCGAAAGAAGTTCAACATACACGCATACACATGCATACACTTGCGAGCATATGCTTGCATGTGCCAGAGCTCACGGTCTTCCAATAATAAACCATTTTTAATCTATAGCAAATGCCACATTCTATTCACATTTAATGCCCCAAAACAAATCTGCTTTAAATCACTTACAAAAATTCACATCATATGACAAAAATACACTTGGAAGGATGGCAAAGGAGTATGATGGCGAATTGTGCATCTGGTTTAAAAACCACGCTGTTAAGCCATGCCATGGGCTGCTAAGATATGGATCCTCAGTATATTTAGTGGAACCTTGCATCAGGCTACTTACTTGAAACAAATTAATAACATTCCTTTCACAATGTTTACAGCTTACAGCAGTTGTTGCAGACAGTGCGAGACACTGGTGAATTCAATACCTCAGTGAGCAAATTCCTATTTGATGTTGATTTGGTTGGTCAAGAAACACCAGTGCCTTTTAAAAAATTCAGCAGGATAACACGGCATTGGGTGGCTTGCGATCGTGCAGATGATTTGTTAAAAAGGGGGAAAATAACTGGTGAAAGGGCAGAAAGACACGTCTATGTTTTTGTGACAGGTGACACTATTAAAAAAAAATGTGCAGAAAAAACCCCATTTCCAGGCATTTTGATGTCATGTTTTTTTTTTTACGCAGCAATGTATCATACCATTGTCGACCACTCATACAAATTCGAGTCTCTTCTGCAATTAAGCGTTAAATTCATGGCTAATCGATGAATGGCAAATTGGAATTTCACCGTAGAAAGGTGTACACACCTCTATATATTGACCAACACCACAGATTAGTCTTTTGAGTGCTGACGGAAAAGTCAAAAGCAAGCATTTAAGGAAAATAAGTGAGTGGTATATCTAACAAACGTGTCTACTCAGCTCTTCCTACTGTACTATATCTGTTACTAATGTTAGGCCCAGACAAGTTGTATACCAATAGCTACGAATGCCGAGATTGCCCAGGTCATCAATAGAATTACCGAAATTCCCCAGGTCAGCAATCGTAGTACAGACTTCTTACACCAACACCACTACAGCACTGTGAATCAACATGTGCACGTTGATGCAATGGTTTAGAGGCTAACATAGAGACTGTGAATTTTAGAGAGACTGATTTTGATTCTTGTTCGAGGCCTGATTTTGCTGTGCCCAAATATATATCCCCCAATGTTGTTGCTGGGCTAGCATCTGGCCAATGTAGAAGAGTACCATAAAAAAATTTCCTTACAGATATAAAACAAATACAAAATTTAAATATGCACACGGTAAACCAACCACTTGTTTACATTTCAAAGTGAAAATTAGAGCTTTGCATTTGTAGTAATTTATCTCTACAGTGTAAATTACTTGAAATGTTTAATGAAATTAACAGCCTTCCCACGAGCCCAGGAATGCACACCTGTTGCAGAGAATGTAGACCACACACTCACCCCCCCACTGTAACTAAACTCGTGCAACCACAAGCCCCGTAATGCAAAGGAAATGCCTGCAAGCTTCCATCATGGCTAACGAAACAATTCAGCTACCACAGGATTAGCAGCAACCAAAGCTCAGTGTGTGCGCATGTTGTTTTTTTCCTCAAGCTATGTTTCTGTGCGTGCGAGTGTGTGGGCACACATTCGCCGACCGTGAATTCGTGTGCGAGGGCATTTGTGTACGCTTGTGCATGTGTTTTCTCGAAGTTGTAAGTGCATGCGTGAATGCGTGTCTTTTTAACACTTTAACAACTACGGTTGAAAGTTTGAATGCATTAACTCGGTCCATCTGCCCCGCCTGTAACGCGGGGTTACAATAACGCTCGTGCAGATGATCCAAATGACACACAAATTGAGGCGTAAAGTTTTGTTCATCTCAGGGACCTACAGAAAACTGAATTGATCAAAGGGTTGTCCAAAACTTGGCGATAAAAACTTGGCGATAAAAACTAGCGCGAACAGGATTCATCTTGGTGACCAAGGCAATGCCACCATTCGGGGTGACATCTCAAGATGGTGGTCATTAAGTGTGACGATAACTCTTCGTGCAGCTTGGAAGGTCACATTATCATGGCAACAAAGAGTTTCGTAAACGTTACAGAAACCACGAGAATTTTTTTTATTAATGAGGGACACGTTTCCCTCACTTTATGGGCGTTTGTGGTTTATGCAATTTTGGCTGGATGCACTTTGAATTCGCTCATATGCGGCCAAGCGTGGGACAACATTATTTGTCTGTGCACTGCATGCACTACGAGGCAGGCAGCAGTCTCTCGTGTGGTGCATTGTGGGTTGGGTGTGCCTGCGCTGCCCATGCCATGCGATTTCACTTTGTGCGCCCCTTTTCTTTTTTGTGAACGCATCTACCGCATAAACTGCTTATTGTTTCATTTAATCTTGATTTGAAGCATTCGTGACTGCAGGAATCCATAGTCTTTGGTTCTTTTGTTAAAGTCACGTAGGTATAAAATAAAATAAATCACGACGTTTCGATCGCAACACAAGCGTCCATCATCAGGTGGTAAAGCATGGTCTGCTGCTGAGGCAGACTGTTTTAAAAGGTTTGAAAAGACACCTCCCTTTGCACCGTACAGTTGGCTACGTACGGTGCAAAAGAAGTTCAACCATAGGTACATACACATACGTAAATCGAGTGATACGTGTGCGCCCTGCTTTCACGGACGTGCACAGCAAGCGGGCGCACGAGTTCGCACGTGTTTAGGGAACTTATGGGAATGGGGACGGAAAGGCTGGGGGGCAAGGGTGAAAAAGAGGTGGCGGAGAGTCTGGCTAAATGGTGATCAGCTCAGTTCACAAGCTTCCCCCCCTGCCTCCCCCCACCCCCCGTGTACTTTCAGGTGGGGGAGGAGGAAAGAGGAAATGAGACAGATTACTTACAGATGCCAAGGCCTTCCCGAGGGCGTCACCCGTTTGAGATCCACCTGCCGCGTTCCCTCTACTCGCTGTTAGACAACAAAGAAACAAAGCGAGCGGCTGTTAGCAACTTCAGTCTCACACCATTAACATGGTCTTGTTTACGAGTGAATGCCTTCACGCACGTGACCGTCGTACACAGTTAGAGCACCAGGTAGGCAAGAAAAATAAATAAAACGCGAGCACGGCGCACGATGACGAAAGCACCCTTGTGCCAATGAAGAAGGGAGCGGGAAAAAAATGTAATCTGATTGCACACGCTTTCTTCTCACTCAAGGAAATTAATGCAATGTGACTTCTTTATTTACACGTAATTACATGCGCCTAAAAAGTTAAATATATTAACTGAACATGATTGAATAATTATTATGAAAACAAAGGTCAGAGCTTCAACTGCTGAATCTAGAAAATGTAGACAGCTAGGACAATTTAAAAAAAGTTAATGATTACATAACCAATCGATATAGATAAAATGAGCGTTTTCTTCTCGAAATATAGCAATTACTTTTGCAATAGCAATTAAACGACCGCGTACGCAACCAAACCGCTCGCGTGAACCATCATACGCATTTGAATAATGAATCAAGAACGATGGCAATCATGCCAGCGAGGACATGCGTTTACTACGTTGGGCCTCTGCGTGTGTGCGCGCATGTGTACGTTCGCGTGCCTACGAACTGGTCTTGAACCGTTTAAAAAAATAAAAAGCTTCTGGGCGAGCGATGCGTGGGTTTACGTTGGAGGGGAAACGTAGAAAATTTCACGCCTAAATTTGTTGTTTCCTCTCCTTTCGCAATGTACGCCGCTTGTGGCTCAAGAATTCTGCGGGCAGCTTGCAGCCAAGTAGAAGCTATACAAGAAGACAGCACAAGCGTCTCCTCCCCAACCCCACCAGTGGCAGATCAATGGACTCTTTTAACTCGACTTGTTCAGCAGAAAATCTCCACATCACCTCACGACGATAGGACGCATTTGCTGCCTTTTTATCTCCTGTTGTTACGTAACGAGAGCATGTATACGAATTAAGCGCGAGCACTAATTTTCTTTTTGAGTTGCCGATGTCGACGACTACTTTTTTTTCCGGAATAAACGATGGGTTGACTTGGCCGAGTGTGATAAATATGCCATACACAATCACGTATCCATGGGGAAAATTATCCTCTTTTTTTCATAAGTCCACCGAGGCACGAACCCGGGATCACAGATCACATTCTGGCTCAGTACCCTGACACAGCCATCACAGTTGCCTGCAGCTACCCAGCCGCTCTCTGTGCCCTATTCTTTGTAGCATTTGTGTACTTGCCCTTGGACATATGTTCGTATTCCTATGAGAATATCCGCCGAGTACGAGTGCTATGTTTATAGAGGGAACATTGCCGAGATGTAGTGAGTAAGCCAAGGATGACACTAAATAGTCTGTATGATACTGCACACTGGGAATCTGTCGGGCTCTCACTGTAGTGCTGTATGTGGTATACGACGAGCACATGGCGGTACATTTATGATTACACCGAATAGTGCTGTATAATTTGAGTGTACTGTTCAACATTAAGCAGTGCTGAATCTGGCCATTCAATTTTGTACACGTTAAAGTGTATGCTCTAAATGGCGATTATAATTCATACCGGAGAGTATATAAACAGAAAGTAGTAAGCGTAACACACAATGTGCAAGCATGCACGTTATTCTCAATAGTGTGCACAATACAGTGCTTGGAAAAAGATCCGGATACACTATTACCCATATCAATAGGATTTCTTATATCAGCAATGCTGGTATCAGCCATGCTGGTATCATAGTGCTTTTAACAGTAGAATTAATAATTATCATTGCCTAGTTATACCACATATTGCCAATGTTGGGCATTAGCTTGTATTAGGTATCAGCTTAAGCTCGGTTTTACTTTTGACTGTTTATCCAGGAAAGCCTCACCGAATTCCAAGACTCATTTTCGGGAGGGTCTTAGATGAGTTTTCAGTCGGGTGCAAAGTTCCAATGCAATCTTAATCGAGTAATTTGGGAGTAAGTCTTTGCGCACTGGGACGTTTGGCCAATAACCAGTGAAGTTACATCGTACGATGTTGCCAGGCACTTGCAGGACTGACACGAGGGATGCGAAAAATGGCGTGCACGTAAGTAGAGAAATACACAACACACGACAGCGACCATAGAAATAAATGGAGGCAAATGGTGCGCGTGTGCACGTCGTGGAGGATTTGACTCACAAGAGTGGTGCGTACCCATCATGGAATCGGATCCGTTAACGGGCGGCGTGCGGGAGTTGGACACGTATGCGGTGGAGCTGCCGGTTGTGCGCGGGAAGCTGGCCATAGGCGGGAGGCTGAGGTTGGGGTCCGCGGGGGAGTGTGACGGGTAGCTCTGTTGGCAGACACACAAGCCGAGAGGGAAAATTCACGTACGCTAAAGCGTGACAAAGTCGGACGCAGCGATGACATCGCAGGCAATGGGTTCGTTCTTAAGGGGGGGGGGGGCAACAACGGACGATGCCGAGCCATGAAAATCTACCAAGTGGACACCACGTGACACCTAGAGTACGGGCTGTTGATGTGGCAGCACTAGATGCATGATCGGTGGCGAAAGTTGAGTATCGTAAAAAGCACTTTCAAGATAGCAGTCCACTGAGATCCATTGTGTTTAATTAAACCACCTTCAAGCCATTAAGGTTTGACTTTTTTGAACAACAGGCAGTGGGAGTGCAAAACTGAAATAGGATTTGCCCCATATTGCTATTTTTCAGATGCAGAATGCAGACTTCCCGATTCGAGAGGATGCAATGGGAGTTGTATACTTATGCAAGTTAATGAATCATGGCGATAGTTTTCACGAGGTTGTATCACAAGCACTCTCATGTGATGTATAACAATATGCAGATATGAAGCAACACATTAACTTCTAGCCTCTCGTGACCCACGAATGCAAATTTTAGTTAAACCAAAGGCACAACCCTCATTAAGGGTAGAGTGAGCAAAAATTAACAGTTATTCTTCCATTAATTATTTATATGTCCGCAAAACGTTCAGCTAATGGATCTTTTTTTAATGGATTGGTTTGAGAGACGCAGACTGCATCAAACTATTCAATTCAAGTGTCAAAGTTAATAGGTAACATAATTAGTGTTAAAACAGTGGAAGCTTTAAGAAGTAAAAATTAACACGTAACAAACGAATTTGCAGCTTGAAGAAAACATTAAGTGCGCATGATATACATGAAGCACATCTCTATGTAAATTTACCTTTCAATATATTAAAAGTTCATATGATTCTAATAAAACATCTATTATAAAAGCTGCAAATACTATTCAGAAGAATGTGCACGCAAATTGTGTACATGCTATTCAATGCTTTCATAATAATTTTCAAATATATTCTATAGAACGGGCTACAAATGCGTATGAGCTCAGTCAATGTCCTAGCAATTCTGTACGGTAACGGAACGTGTTGGTCAACCGTCAAGCATAAAAGCAGTCCCCCGTAAGTGCGCTAATCAGCTAGCTCATGTACAAATGACTTATTTTTTTTATCTATTTTTGTATGTATGCTGAACTTCTTTTGCGCCATACGTAGCCAACCGTGCTAATCGACGTACAACCTCCGCGGTCAACCCTTCATTTCCCACCATCTGGGTGCCCACTCTGATGCTGCCTGTCACAGTGTAACCCTATACACTCTTAGATCCCAGACATGCGCCAGACCAATCTCGACTTCCTCCACCGATTAGATCTACACCTATAGTGCTTTTAATCACATGCTATTCAAAACTCAGTTAGATAACAACATCCTGGTATTGTTATACGTCTAAGAGCAGTAACAGGTGAAAACCTATATTCTGGTATTTAAAAAGTTAGCCACAAGAGCAATGATATATCAAACGCTGTTATTTAAAGTCAAATCTAGTGGGTATAAAAATGTCACCGATGCTTCATTAGGTTAAGTCGGGGTCTAAATTCTGCTTAACTGGCATTTATAGATGTTGCCGATATATTTTGCCAAGATGCTAATCACCGTGTTTATGCTGGTATTGAGCATGAGTCACACAACCTCATAACTCTTATCTGTAAATTAACTTATTGAAGTAACACTTTCCACTCCTAAATAATAAAAAATGTAATATACAAAAAATGTTGAGCATTTTTAAATAGTTACATGATGTTCCCCACCCCCCCCTAAAGTGAATGTTTAAGACATGATGAAAAATAACATTAGAATCAGAAGCAATGCACTCAGAGGTATGCGAGTGGTACGCTATAATTACATTTTGGACAATGCAGCAAGATCAAGTGACACAAATATTATGTATTTACAGGTGCACCGAAGCATCTGCAAAGGTTTTATTGAAAGCCAATACTGTGGCATTTCAAGCAAATGTACCAAGATCATGGTGGATAACATTGTCAAAAGCAATAGCAACCAGATGTGTGTTTGTGGTAACTATGGCGATGGCAGGAACAAAGCATAAAATGCACCTCACATTCTAACAAAACTATTTATAAATATACCAGTGCGCAAGGCAGCATTGTATGCCCATGTTTAATATTTCAAGACCCTGCATTGTTAATCCACGTCTACCACCACAGAGACACTAAAACTGGCTGACTGTGTGTGCTCTATGTTTAGCGTAGTTGGTTATGGGCGTTGGGAACACAACCAACCGAATAAATAAATAAAGCGTCCAATTCATAGGGCGACATGGGCAGACAAAGCAAGGACGAGGAAAACACAATGAACATGGGCGGTGCACAACTGTACCAAGCGCTCATGTGGATGCGGATGCAGGCTGCTGTAGCCTCCCGGCTGCGTCATGTGACCAGCCGATGCTCCCAGCATGCTGCTGTAACCCTGCTGACTCATGCCATTGGATGAACTCCAGAGGTCCGAAGAGCCGTGCGCAGCATCTGCCCCAAAAAAGAGAGAAAAAAAAAACGGTGGTGGGCAGGCGGGGTGAGGAAGGATGCACCACTCATCGCGTACGCGACCCGCACGCTGGCACCCCGACAAGACGCACGGTGGAAGCTTGCGGTACAGTCAAACACGGAGAAAAAGATCCCCCCCCGTATAGCGTTCACAGACTGTTGGGGGAAGTGCTGTGAGCAAGCACCTACGAAGGCCGGCACAGCTCACCAGCGGGTGGGTGGGTGGCCAGCAACAATGCCTGGCTGCCTTCGTCGCCCCAGTGGCAATGTTTACACATCGCACCAGGTACTCATTTGAGGCTGAGTCGACCTATAGGGGGCCCAGGACCAATTCAGATAATCGTCACTGGTGTTGGTGGCTGTGAGAGGGAATTTAACTCGGGTCGCCGGGTTCGTAGTGTCGTAACCGCTGCACTACCGGCTCCCCACCTACAGTGTACGTTGTATAAACACACGCATGCACACCGCATAATAAACAGCATGCAAGTGTGGCATAACGGAGAAAACGAGGCGTGGTTGTTATTTTGGAGAAAAAAAACTGCAAGTTTTGTTAGCGAGCCTCTATTAAAGTGTGGCCTGGCACACGAGTGGGGATGGGGAAGGGGGAGGCCAGTATATCTGAGCAGTCAACGCTGTCTCCCGAGTGTTTTTTGCTTGACGCATCACAGCAAGTGCTCATCTAAGGCCAAGTCAACCAAGAGGCAAGTGCCAGGTTTCTGATATCAAATGCTACTTGTGTGTATGGCCAGCAATTAAACATGTTCTTTCCTCCACTTCGAAGAACATACATTACGTCGTATATGTAGTTACGAATATAATTTGTTTTTTGTTATTTTCTTTTAACCTATCTATGTGACATTACCGAAAGACCCAAAGAATATGGATTCCCTGAATAGTTTTAAATAACATAGTGGAAATGCAATATAACAAAAACCTAATGCAAGTCCAAGTGAGATTACAAATTAAAGATATAAGAAATGTACTCCACGCATCCATATACAAAACATAATATAAATAGTGCAAAGTATATCAAGCAAGAGAAAAGGAGAGAGCAAACTGTGTCAAGGACAATGAGTTGTGGTTTCTAACTAACCATTTTCTCATCAGTTTGGTCAATTTATTTGATGCTGCCTTCCTTCCAGTGACACAACTTTTTCTATTGAAAATGTGTTTTCTCAACAATGATTGTGTAAACTCAAATTCGTGAGTGTCATGGTCCTCATGACGAAATTCTCGTCGACTCAGCCTCAAATGAGTACCTTTGTGCCGTGTGTAAGCATCGCCACTGGGGAGACAAAAGTGGATGGGCATGGTGCTGGCCACCTACCCACCCCCTCGTGCATCATGCCGGCCTTCAAAGGTGCTTGCGAGCAGCACTTGCTCCAAACATTCCGTTAAGGCTGTATAGGAGGGGTTCTTTGTCTTATACACAGAGACCCTTCAAACCTAACCGAGCTAGCCGATGTAAGCGGCAGCTGGAAGGGGACAGGTGTCAACGGACCCAACAACAGCATCCCATGTACTCACCTTGCATGAAGTAGGGGCTAGAGAACATACTGCCAGGCGGTTTGGCCGAGTAGCTGGGCGACTCGCGGTTGAACTCGTCTACTGCGACCGAGGGTGCGTACACCTGCGGTGGGAAGAGGCGGGAGGGACGAGCAGAGAGAGAGAGAGACGGCCTCTGTTAGAACCACCTCTCAGATCGGGGCGACGGCACGCTTTTTAACAAAGAATAACAGAAATCCCAGAGTGAGAGACGGGTGAAATGTGAACAAACAACGGTGTTGTCATATTGTCAGGTTTAGGTATACGTGACACGCGCTTGTTTTAACCACGCCATGTTTTTAAAACACTTTCCAACAGGACAATACTGTGTCCTTGAGGGTACATTTGTGGTGAATATTAGTTGATTTTATATTTCGATAAAAACATGTAGCACAATTAACTACAAGGTATTCAAGTAAAATCAGTCAAGGGAAAACACAGGAATGGATGGAATGTATGCTTATTTTGTAAGGGACATTTGCCAATAATAAAAAAAACTGTCAAATGCTGTATAGCCTACTCAAATCTTGGTTTGTCATGTGTAAGATAGTCATTTTAAGCCTATGTCAATTTAGCACCGGAGGAAGGCCTCGTGATGCCATGTAAGTCACGAGGGCTGTTAAAGAATACGTCACCACACTGGGCGGGTTGGTGAGGCGAGACGGGAAGGCGACATCGGTAATAAATACATTTCCACTGAAATCTCAATCGCTGTGCGACAACTTCCCCTTTCCATGTGTACTATCATTATAGTACTTCTATATAAACCTCATAACAATATTACCTGAATATGACATGTACGTGGTCCAGCGAATGTAACATTAAACGCTGAACGACCACAGTGCATACATAATACCATCAACTCTGCAAATTAGCGATGCCAGCAACGAACCAAGCAAGCAGAAACATTCCAAGACAAACACATCACTTGAAAACAAGCAAACAGACCATATTCATGGCATACACGGCATTACAATGCAAGGACAGACAAAATAAACATTTTGTAAAAGATGCATAAGTGGGGATGCAATAAGACTTCAGCCTCCCACGGCAGAAAGCGAGCGCCCGCACGAATGTGCAGAGCGTGCAGATTTACACACGCCAGCGAGAAGCGCGGGGAAGTCGCGGAGCGAGCCTCACTCACTCACTCACGCCACGCTACACTTCCCCCGGCAGCGGCTGGTGCTGACGAGGCATCGGTAATAAACGTAATCCTACGTTCGGACAAACGCTCGGCGACATATGTCGTACTCGAGCGGTAATCCATCACTGTCAGCGGGGCGGGCGGGCGCTCGATCCCAGAGCCGCGTGAGCGTCGGCGGATGAGCGCGCCAGTCGTGGCGACCGCCGAGCGCGCTTGTCCACCGCGTGTGTCCTCCCGAGCTCATTAACCCTTAAAGATGCACAAGTGCAGGGCCCACTGGCAGCCCGGAGAAAGGGCTGGGAGGGGGGGGGGGGTTCTCAACCTGAGGGCCGCAGATCCCCCAAGACATCATTTAGAGGGTTCACCAAGTTGTAAAAGGGGGTCCATGGGGAATATGCAAAAGTGCAAAGAGGTCTGTGATCCACAAAGGAAATGGGAGTTGTAAGAATAGTTTTACCCTTCCTGGCAATAAAACAGGTGTGAAGATGTGAAAACACCAAAATGAAACCTTTTGTAAGAAATCATGTCTGCATTACCCACATATACTTGTGGTGAACATGCAAATAAAAAACATGCTCTGGTAGTATATGCATTGTCTTTGAAACTGATTGGTCCATACTAGAGACAGCTTTCTTTAGAGCCCAGTCTCAAACAGTGTTCGACCAGAGGACGCCAAAAGGAGAACATGGAGTTGTCTTCTTCGCATTAGCCACACACCGGCCGCACCCATAACTTGACCAACCTACTGATGTCAACTGACGGCAAAGCCAAATTGCATTCTGTTATGAGGAGGCTGTTTGCAGAGGGGGCGTGGTAATTGCAGAGGGCGCGTGGTATTGCAGAGGGGGCATGCGCAGTGGTCGGGGTCCATGCAAGTGGGGGGGGGGGGGATGTTGCCTGAGGGGTCTCCCCTCACTTCCACAACGGTTGGGACCAATGGCCGAGCACGCTGTCCAAGACCGCCACCCTATATTTCTGTTACCCATACATCTTATTCAGTTGTTAAGGACAATTAAATAAACACACCATTTGGTTATTCAGGTTTATCAGCATGCCTTTTTTTATAATTTATCAGCAACAGCAGGGTTCGATTTTTGTAGAACAATATTAAATCCAATTGTCACAAATTTGCAATGTTTCGACAAATCCAATTCGGTGTTTTACATGTAATAATTGCCAAGCTAGAACATTCTAAGTGGTTGACATCGTACAAAACAAACACAATAGATCGAATGAGATTTAAAAAAATCAGTCGGTAAAATTGTTAAGTCCCACGATTCACAAACAAGGTTACACGAATAGAAAAGGAAAGAACGGGTTTGGTTGGTAAGCCACGATTGCCATGCTTGAGAACAGAGAGCATACGATGGAGTGTGTACATGTGCGCACACGTATATAAAATAAGCACTTGAAAATGGTATTCTTTATAGCAGTTTCATTGCAAATATAACCATAGCAACTGTCTCCAAGTGTTTACTACCATGAATATGGGGTTCAACTGCCATTGTGTTAAAACAAACATGAAAAAAACCCACCCAGCACTGCCGTGCACATTAGGCAGCGCAATGTCTCTTTGCAACGAATGCAGGTACACACCGCACTCCTGATAGCAAAACCAAAAACAAGTTTCAGCAACCTTGAAAATGGGCTGATGTGGCACCGAAGGAGATCGAGAATAATGTTACTACGTTAGTATTATAATAACTGATATTAACATAATTTACATCCTTAATAATAAACCAACTTTGCGTTGTACAATTCATAATTGAACAATTTGTCAGATATACAAAGTTGATGACAATAATTCACAGCCCTTTTGACAATGCACTAACGCACGAAGCAATGACATGACAAAGGACTGTTAATCCATTGATGGATGAAGGCTTCCTCAGACCGTGTCAGCCATGGGAGATTGCTTGATCATACTTCACCACACTGGTCCTCTGCCAGGTGCTAAAGGGGTGCTGCCCATGGCCTCTTCATAATTCACTTGGCACCAATGTGAGCCATGTCCAGGAAAGGTTCATAGCACAGAGCACTATCCAATGCACTAACCAACGGATGAACCATTGCACTAAGCAATGCTCTCACCAATGCACTAAGTAATGCTCTAACCAATGCACTCACCAAAGCACTCACCAATGCACTAAGCAATACACGAAGCAATGCTCTAATCAATGCACTAAGCAATGCGTCAAAACTCCACCCACACACGTATAGACATCTTTTTTGTTTTTAACACTGCAAGCGTTCGGATCTGCAAATTCTGCAGAGAAAAGGCTCAGAGATGACTTTGTAATGAAAACTTTACAAATGCAAAGTTGGCCACGTGCCACTTACAGCAGATAAACCAATTTACCAGCATATGAACTTTGTTGTTGGGATATCAAAAGCACTTATAATACAAATACCATCAAAGCATCGTATTCTACTGTTGTGTACAGTTAGGAGTTTGACAACAAAAACACCCATACACACATATTGGTTGCAATATATTAGAATGCAAAGCACTTCATCAACCCACTTATGCCATTGTAGTTGTTGCTCTGCATCTACACTGGCCATACCAAAGAAGAAGAATCCACTTTTAGACGAAGGCCTCCCAATGCTGCATCATCGCTCATGGGGGTTGTTTGACCATACCTCACCACACTGGTCAGTGCAGATTGGTGAGGATGGGAGGGGGGGAGCAGGAACCGGTTCAGTTATCACTTACCATTGATATTAAACGTGGCCTGGAGCCAAAGTCAGGCCACATAGATCCAGACAGCTGTGCATTAACTACTGTACCATGATCGCTCCCCCCCACTATACACCAACGATACAATAACATAATAATTGTATTGATTCGCTGGCATAGTGATGTCCAAAATAAGCACCAGACAAAAGTCTGTTCAAATTCAAGAGACGAACAAGCCTGCTAAAATGACTCATTTCATACTGAATTCCATAGTGCAAAGCCACTACACCACACTCCTTCACATGTTGATGTGCTCACATTTAAAATTACAACATGCACAGTAAATACGCATTTTTTACGCCAATTGACTGCAAGTGCTTATTAGGGTATTTCCGTAAACAATTAACTGTTTGAGTACGTTTATTGACAGCTGTGCTACAGTGCACAGTTTTTTTGATGAAATTAGTATAGATGAGAATTAAAGAATCGCCAAAATAAATGTCAACACCAACTCAGATGATGGATGTGTATGCCACATGGCATGACGAGAAAACTAAGCATTACCTTGTGAGCCCAGCAGAGTGTGTATGTAGTGTAGCAAGGTACTAACTATAAACAAAATGGGAATATCTATTAGTGACAAAAAGCAAACATTTCCACAACTGATGGTAGACTAACAACAAAAAAGCAAAAGGGTAGTCCTGCAGATAGGTTGCTCACGCAACTTCTGGCAGAAAGACGGGCTTCCATGAGAGGGAGCTCAAGGCAGCTGCTCGAGTGGGTGTCAAGACGGTCGACAGAAGGTCGTGGATTCGATCGCGACCCTGACGCCTTTATATTTGGAGTTTGCATGTCTCTCTCCTCGTGGTCGCGTGGATTTTACTCTGGGTCCTCCGGTTTTTCCCTCCACATTTAGAATAAACGTGCGTTTTTACAGTATTTGGCTGCTGTACATTTCCATGTGATAAGCTACTTCATTAAGCTATCATTTGTGGCCGGGTGGCTTCTGTGAAAGAGCTATAACGCTCAGCGGGCCTTAACGGGTAAAATAAAAAATAGTTTGTTTAGTTTTGCTTACTATGGAATGCTGGCCAAACATCGTGGAAGAGGTGAGCTTAGTCACAATTTATTCAACCACATGCAATCGCTTGATAGACTAACTGTGGCGGACCCATATATACCGCCGAAAAGACATAGGGGTAGGGAATTCAGGAATGTTCTCAACTGTGAGAATAGGTTTCCCCCTTTTCTCTCGCAACAA